TAAGTTTATTCATATTCTGTTTTATATAATTAATGAGTAGTTTTTCTTTTCTTATCTCATTTTTACTAGAAATTAGAATATGAGTAGATTTGTACATGGATCCCTCCACTTATAAATTGTTTTAAATATTAATTAAATATTTTTTAAAAAAGTAAAAATTATAACAAATAAAATTTAATATTATTAAATATCCATAAAAAGAAACACATCTCCTTTTTCCAATATTAAATATAAAAAAGAAAATTAATAACTGTATAAATATTAAATTTAAACTTAATAAATATTAAATAATTATATAAAAAATATATAATCATTAAATATATGTCTTAAAAATAAATCAAGGAATTAATAATTTTAATATAAGTTTGCTACGTTTTATAATTTAAAACAGGTGTATAAATATTAAATAATTATATAAAAATATATAATCATTAAATGTGTGCCTTAAAAATAAATTAAGCAATTAATAACTTTATTATAAGTTTGCTAAATTACCTGTACAGTATTTTTATAATTTAAAACAGGAACAAGACAGGTATTCCAATATACATGATTAAGTCCAAACACGTGAATTTCATGGTTTTGAAACAATAATAACCAATAAGTGAAATTATTGAAAAATGAACAATACAAAGTCACAGGCACGTGTTGTGAATTCTTGGTCTTTTACCAACATTTTACGTTAAGGGAGGATTTTTCATTATTTATTTATTTATTAACTATTGAAACAATTACTCACATGTGATATATATTATTTCATCCCATTAGTGCATAAAGGACATTTGGCNACTTATATATATATATATATATATATATATATATTTGTATCTATTTATTTTTCGTTGATGAAAATATGAATGACAACATAAAAAAGAAGATATGATACAAGTTTAATTATCTTATTTTCATCCTCAAAAAATAAGTTTATTCATATTCTGTTTTATATAATTAATGAGTAGTTTTTCTTTTCTTATCTCATTTTTACTAGAAATTAGAATATGAGTAGATTTGTACATGGATCCCTCCACTTATAAATTGTTTTAAATATTAATTAAATATTTTTTAAAAAAGTAAAAATTATAACAAATAAAATTTAATATTATTAAATATCCATAAAAAGAAACACATCTCCTTTTTCCAATATTAAATATAAAAAAGAAAATTAATAACTGTATAAATATTAAATTTAAACTTAATAAATATTAAATAATTATATAAAAAATATATAATCATTAAATATATGTCTTAAAAATAAATCAAGGAATTAATAATTTTAATATAAGTTTGCTACGTTTTATAATTTAAAACAGGTGTATAAATATTAAATAATTATATAAAAATATATAATCATTAAATGTGTGCCTTAAAAATAAATTAAGCAATTAATAACTTTATTATAAGTTTGCTAAATTACCTGTACAGTATTTTTATAATTTAAAACAGGAACAAGACAGGTATTCCAATATACATGATTAAGTCCAAACACGTGAATTTCATGGTTTTGAAACAATAATAACCAATAAGTGAAATTATTGAAAAATGAACAATACAAAGTCACAGGCACGTGTTGTGAATTCTTGGTCTTTTACCAACATTTTACGTTAAGGGAGGATTTTTCATTATTTATTTATTTATTAACTATTGAAACAATTACTCACATGTGATATATATTATTTCATCCCATTAGTGCATAAAGGACATTTGGCCTTTTAATGTCACTTCCAAAACCGACGTCTTGTGGATGACGTTAATCAAACGTTGGACTCAAACAGGTCCGACGTTTTATAGACGTCGGTTACTGCATGATCCGGACGTCTAAAGGGCTCCATAAACGTCAAACATTACATTAACCGACGTCTATTGCAGCTTGTGTCTTTGGGTAGCGTAGTAACACCTTCTTCTTTTGCTAGTTTCGTCATAGAAAATGTTGCGTCTTTTGGATCTCTTATGACATTTCAACCGAAAACCAAATCTGAATTCTTGCCTAGTTCCACTAAAATCGCCAATGAAAACGAACGGTGATAATAGAACTAGGCAAGGACCGAAGTTTGGTTTTGGGTTGAAACGCTATAAGACATCTAAAAGACGTAAGCTTTTCTTACGAGAAAACTAGCAAAGGGAGAATACGGTACAATGCTACCCAAAGACACGAGAAAAACTGCACGAAAACACAACAAAAACTCATTTTAATCGGTTCAAATGAAGGATAATCAACCAAAAACTAGTATAATCGGAATAAAAATACGTTTAAACAGTTCAAAAAAGATAAAAACGCACCTAGAAAAACAATGCCACAGAGAGAAAAGGCGAGAAGGAAGACGATAAAGTGCTCCTAACAATGGGTTTGATGTATGATTTAACAGCAAACTAGACATCGGCTCCCCAGGTGAACCGACGTTTATTCTGGCCTAGACGTCGTGGCCCTCACTAATATGACGTCCAAAACAACTTTTCATCAGGCCATTTAGACGTCGGATGGCGTGATCCGACGTTTGTACGGTGAAAAAAAATAACTTTTCATCTACCTGTCAAACATATACATGTCCGTTAGGAGGGACACCGACGTCTATCATCAAATATAATCATCGGGGTGGCTGGATCGGACGTCTCTAAGGTGAAAAAAATAAATTTTCACCTACCTGTCAGACATTAAGACGTCTGTTAGGAGGGCCCCGATGTCTATAATATTATAGACGTCAGGGCCTCTCCTAACAAACGTCTATATGCTCACTTATTTACGAAAATGCCACTGGTCAATAATTTACGTTGGTTATTTTGTGGTTCGACGTCTAAAGAGTGACATTAAAGTCCAATTCTGCACTAGTGTCCTATTTTATATTGCAGTGTTATAAATTAATAATAATCACTCCTTCCAAATAATTATCATGAAGATGCAATGCTTTCACACCAAATCCAACAACACCAAATTTTATACCGTGAATAGAATAATTTCAACCTAATTGCCATACTTATTGTGTTAAATATTTAATCTTTTAATAATCAAATATATTTCCAAATTAGTATGAACATGTTTCTAGACTAATATACGTTAACGCAAAGGTGATATACAATTTCATCTTATAACAACTTAATCACTTGTTTAAAACTTTAAAACCCTAATTGTAAACGATAATGACTAGATTACCAATCTAACCTATTTCATAAACCTTCTTATTCAGTCTTTAATTGATGTGTTTTATCCAGACAACAAGCACATGTGTTTGTACTATACTTACAAAAATTAACGGTCAGAAAGACACGCCATATACTTCTCAATAATTGAACAAATCCATATTTATATAACATTGGGTTATTTTTGTTTTGTCATATGTTTATTTTCTTTTGTTATATTTCTTGAGTGTTTTTATCCTAAAATTATTAATTGAATTCATATAATTAATGATTTTATATTTTAATGTTTATAATCTTGTTTATTTTAATTTATTTAATTTGTGTGTACATGGACTACAGACTAAGTATGAAATGCAGAATTCCATTAAAACAGACAATGATTTCAGACCACCACGTTTCGCCCGTGGTATCCTCACATTTCTTAGTTTTATAATAATAAAAATATCTTTTGCAAAAGTTTTTGAATATCAATGATAATTACTTATATATATATATATATATATATATATATATATATATATATATAAAGTTTTTGAATATCAATGATAATTACTTTTATATATATATATATATATTGTATGAAATGCTGAGTCCATTGAAATAAGAAAAAGTTATTCTAGGATCACCTGTAACCCCAATTATTCTTTACCTATTTAGATGTTATAATATAAAAAAGATTTAATGCAACAATTATAGAATATCAATCACAATTCGTAACAGATCTTTATGAAATACTGAATTTATATTCATTATTTCAATATCACCTTTCACATAGTATCAGGATCATCATTATTAATTCGATATTTATAATTACATTAATTCATACAAATAGCTTGGGCAACACAAAAAGCCAAACATATCCTAGTCCAAGAGGGATTATATTGCATCAGCACAGAAGGATTGTGGAAGTGACTATACCTCACAGGTGACATTAATATTGCCCAATATGGAATCTTCCGGAATGGAACGCGTTCACACTTGAATTTTGAACATTTTTTATCAGTTCAGCCACGCAAGCCTACCGCTCCATTTATGCATATAATCTTCAATTACGAAAATATCCTTGTATGGAGCCTCACGCTGAACGCAAGTTTTAAATTAATGTTGCTTCTGAAATTAGGTATAATTATTTTAATGTGAAATTAGGTACAGATGTTAATATTTAGCAATATTTAATATAAAAATTGTTTGACCATTAATTTATTTATTATTAATTACTGAAAAAATAATAATCTACAGATAATTATTTGAAAGGTTTTATTTATACTATAAATAATTATTTTTACTCTTTTAAAATGTTTGATATTAATATTGTATTAAGATAATTCAAGGCAGAATGAAGTGTACATTTTTTTTTCTTTTCTAGAACTAGGTTTAGCCAGCTGCAAAACTTGCCTTCTGCACCCCGAGTGTTTCTTCCTGTCAACGAGGGTAACTTCGTCATTTAAACCCAAATTTAATGGTCAAAGTGCCTTATGGCATAACGCCAGGAAATCCGTTCTCACTTTTTCCGAAAACAACACTTCCATCCAGAACCTAATCCTCTGCGGTTTCCAAAGCAAACAGCAAACCCTCCACGTACAGATCTAACCGTTGCAATCACTTAAAAGATAATTTAAAGCATCAATTTATTATTTATTCATTATTTGGATGGAGGTGATTAATGCAATCCCAGTTGCAACTACAGAGGATCAAAATCCAATCAATGACCCTTCACTTCTTTCTCTTTTATTTCTCTTTCTCTGTACTGGTCAGTCATAAAAGCTTTCTTCACCTACCCCACGATGTGTAATGTGTAGTTTACACGTGCAAATCCATCTGAGCCATTGGTTTCTGAAATCAACAAAAGCAGCACATCAGAAAAATCCAACGGTTCACAAGCACCTACTAGAACTTTCTCCTCTTCTCCCCATTATATCTACCTTGCTCCTCTCGGCTGAAATACTCGCTGGGGCTCGTGGTCTGCTCGTGTCACTAGGGTTAACATATTCTATTTCTTCTCCAGTTCCAAGGTTCGTTAGCCGGAATCTTTCTCGAAAAATTGCATGAATCCTTGACTCTGTTCATGATACACATTTTAACTGATTGGTCTTTATCTTGCATAATTCCCTGTTCATGCGTTTTAAGTGACTGATTTCTCATTTTTGTTCAGGATCGTAAGCCATGGGAAAATCTTACCCAACCGTCAGCGCCGATTACCAAAAGGCCATTGAGAAGGCAAAGAAGAAGCTTAGAGGTTTCATCGCCGAGAAGAGATGCGCTCCTCTGATGCTCCGTTTGGCGTAGGTTTTCTCTTTTTTAGTTAGATCAACATTACGCTGCACTCTGACTTTGTATATTATGGTTTTGATTCGTTTTGGTGCGTTTTGTGTGTAGATGGCACTCTGCTGGTACCTTCGATGTTAGCACCAAGACCGGTGGCCCCTTCGGAACCATCAAGCACCCTGCTGAACTCGCTCACGGTGCCAACAACGGTCTTGATATTGCTGTCAGACTTTTGGAGCCAATCAAAGCGGAGTTTCCTATCTTGAGCTACGCAGATTTCTACCAGGTGAGAAAATATTTTTATTTTAGATCTGGGAAGTGTTTTTTATTTCTGGAGATTGTGCGTGTAATGATACTTTTCTGTAAAACGCAGTTGGCTGGCGTTGTCGCAGTTGAGATCACTGGTGGACCCGAAGTTCCTTTTCACCCGGGCAGAGAGGTATAATATTGCATGTCTAATTGTTTTTATACCTGCTTATTATTGATATAATGTAACACTCTTATTTGGTAAAATGATATGATTTTTTTTTGTTTTTTTTTTTTATGGTTGTGTAAATATTAGTAGTGCTAGATCATGGATTCAGTGTGTAATTTTTGTCAGTTTCATTGAATATCAGTTTATTTCTACTGTGTTCACGCATTTAACTGCTTACTATTTGATGGAGATTAAGCTGTTAATCTTTTATTACTATTTGATGGAGATTAAGCTGTTCGTCTTTCATTGGATTAAACCTTTGACAGTGCACACTTCAGACATATGATCTATTTTCACTGCACTTAATTTGTTTTCTTGAATTACTACAATTACATGCTTGTTTGACTGATTTATGGATTTAGCTATTCAAACTATGATTAAGGTTCCAGTGTCTGAAATGTTTTTTCATATATTTTGTTTTATTAGTAATGCTCATAATTTATGGCACCAAATTTTGCTTTGATAATTTCTCAATTCTTTTTAAATGGTTATTTTTGATACTATTTTTGTCCTCTGAACTTTTGTTTTTCTGAATTACCATGAAATAATTTTTGTTTCTGAATTACTATGAAATTTGTTTATCTTGAAATGGTATTACTCTGCAAGTAATTTTTATGATCGATTAGTGTTTAATGGTACTATTTTCTTTCTGAGTAGGACAAGCCAGAACCACCTCCAGAGGGTCGCTTGCCTGATGCAACCAAGGGTCAGTACTCTGTCTCGGTGATTGTCAACAAAATCTCTCGTTCATAGGGTTTGTGTAATTACCGTTGGGTCCTTGATTGTTGCAGGGTCTGATCACCTTAGGGATGTGTTCGGCAAGGCTATGGGGCTTAGTGATCAGGATATTGTTGCTCTATCTGGTGGTCACACCATTGTATGTTCTGTGATTTTGTGCTCTTCTTTTGAGTTTTAACAGAGGCACATTGAAAATGACATTGAACGTACTTTAAATTGTATCCTTGCTGGTGCAATTCTAACAGAAGTATTTTTCAGGGAGCGGCACACAAGGAGCGATCAGGATTTGAGGGTCCCTGGACCTCAAATCCTCTTATTTTTGACAACTCATACTTTAAGTGAGTACTTTTATGTTTTTCACATTTCCTTCTCTCTCCGTTTTAAAATTCTTACCTAACTCTTTTATTGATGTCCAAAAATGTTTTAGGGAGTTGTTGAGTGGTGAAAAGGAAGGTCTCCTTCAGCTGCCTTCTGACAAGGCACTTTTGTCAGATCCCGTATTCCGCCCTCTTGTTGAAAAATATGCAGCTGTGTGTATATTTCACAATCATCCTAACACTGGAGATAAAATTGATTGATCAAGTGTATGTATCTAATCTCGGTTTTCTGATGATTTCAGGACGAAGATGCATTTTTTGCTGATTACGCAGTTGCTCACCAAAAGCTTTCCGAGCTTGGGTAAGTCTTGGTATTCAGTGTTCTTATTTAAAACCTCTTTGTCTAACTTGAGTTGTTAAGTTCATGTGTTATCAATTGGATTCTTATGTGTATGAAATTTACCTCAGGTTTGCTGAAGCCTAATCAACATATAGGCAGTTGGAGATCTAGAAAACAAAAGAAGTGGTTTTAAATTTCGATGTGAGGATGTGTTTTGTCCCCCCTTTATTTTTCACCATTGGCAAGTTGGATTGTTTTTTCCTTTGTTGTGGTTGATCCTTTTGTTAAATAACATTGCTAAGAGTTAATGGTTGAACTCATTGGGACCTCACGTCATTCTTACGCGCCTACTGGTAATTTGTTGTTGGTATTCTTATTATGTAGCCTTTTTACGTTGTTAGAATTAGACCATTCTTGGTTTTCATATAGCCAATGCGAATTTTGTTAAGTAGTTATATCTTTATTATGTGGTCTTTTTTTGTTTTTGCTAATATTCAAAACCGAAATAGTAATTGTTGTTTAGCTAAACCGATTAAATTGTAGAAGTTTGTAAGTCCCAACCTATCTCACCTTGTTGAAGTATACCTAAAAGCAACTGAGTGATGAAAATATTTGGACTGGCTTTAAAATAAGCTTATTTGATTTTTTGACTCAGGAAAACTTTTCTCCATATTAAGATTGTATGCTTTTTAAATCTGAAAAATACCATGCTTCTTTGTTGTAAGTGAAAATCAAAGTTTTATTCAATTACTTTGTATAGCTTTGTTACTCTTTTGTATAAATTATTTAACTGAACACTTTTGCACGCAATTTATATAAAAGGATAGATTAAAGTTATATAAAAAATGTGGACATGTATAAAAATATACATATTACTATTTAGTTCGTAAGTTAGACTAGGTTGGTCCAACATTCGTATGAAATTAACTAAGGTTCTCGTGTCATTATAATTAAATAAGAATTCAGATATTCTTGATTTTAATCCCATGTCTACACAACACTATTTGTTTCATATTTGCTTTAGTATTTAGGATTTTATCTTGATAAATAAATAATATTGAGTATCTTATTGTTGGTCCTGGTTTAAACATTTTAAATAATGTGTCATGGAATTAGTAGTCGTATTGTGTCACAACAGTGACTTAAAAAATGAAATAATGGATTATAAAAAAAGTATTATAATTAGTTAAACTATTTTTGAAACATTGACAAAATTATTTGGTCTTATAAGGTAGTTTTTTCAAATAATAACAAACTAACATGAGCAAAATAGAAGTTGCAATAAATGTTATATAAATAGTATAGACTGCTTGTGCGCCACGAATAGACTTATTGCTTCTTACACCGGGGCAAATTTCTTCTTACAGTCTGTCTCATTTGGAATTTACTTCCGGAGTCAAATAAATAATTATGGAAATTCTTTTTGGAAAGAAATCACTCCTCACTCTAGGACAAAATTTTTTTGGGAGCTTCTGTACCTCTAAAAAGACACATTTACCCTTAGAATAAAATAAAAAATTCATATACAAAAAGTAATTAAATGTTATTAAATGTTACCGTATTATATTTGATCAACTAAATTTAATTCACGTAATATATTTTCGTTTCATCATATATTTTTGTTTTATTTTCTGTTGACCTTTAATTCTCCTGGTGATCCTCTTGCTTTGTTCACTATGGTGTTTTTATATTCGTGATTGTGCATGTTGTGATTTGTTATTTTAATTCTGTGGTAATTTTCTGATTAACGGTTGTTTGTGGTATCTTTGGAGTACATTTGTGAGTTTTGTGGTATAGGTAATTTAATCAAAAATTCTCTTATGTAATGTTAATACGAGTTTCAAAAATTGTTGAATTTTTAACCGACTTTTAATATCTAGTTAAGAGTTCGTTGGTTTTCGAAAATCGATTAAAGATTCAGCGAATTTCGAAAATCGTTGAACTCTTAATTGGTTTTCGAAATTTGACAAACTCTAAAATTGGTTAAAAGTTTAATGATTTTTGAAAAAGGTTAAAACCTTGACCGTCCATGAAAGGTGACAAACTCTTAGTCGGATTTCAAAGTCAGTTAAGAGTTCAAAGATTTTCGAAATTCGTCGAACTCTTAACCAATTTTCAAAATCCAATTAAGAACTTGTTGACTTTTGAAAGCCGGTTAAGAGATTAATGTTTTATTTCTGTCATTAATTTTTTTTATTTAATTTTGATTATGTTAGAATTTTATTATTATTAGTATTCAGCTGGGTGTTTGAGTGACAAACATGTTTATGATATAGGTGGCTAATATTTTAAGATGAACAATTATTCATTTAAGTTGATGGAGTCACAAATAAATTCCAACTTCGTGTCTAAATTTTCTCTTTTCATCAATGAAGTGATAAATGGTGGTTATACCAATAATTTTACAAACGATAAAATATTTTCCTTACGTGATGAGTTAATTGAATGAGTTTGAGGGATTACGTTTGATCTTGAATTTGTTGTGGTTATTATAAGATCTAACACCTCAATTGGTGAATCCGGAAGAAAAACGTTCGTGTTGTTAAGTTGTGAAAATGAATGAGAAATATAAGTACAAACTTGATGATTAACTGAGTGTATCAAACACACAAGAAAATGTGAGTGTCCCTTTAAGTTGAGGGAAAAACCTTATTTTAATGGAGAGTGTTGTATGTTAAAGGTAATACGTGGATATCACAACCATAAGTTGGCTGAGACTTTAGTTGTCACCTTTTTGCTGACATGTTAAATCTTACTGAACAATCATTATTTATCGACATGACTAACAGTTAAGTAAAGCCTTCAAATATTCTACTCACTCTTAGAGAACATAATGATTGTAATGTGACAACAATAAAGAAAATATATAACGCAAGATATACATACAAGCGGTCGTTGAGAGGGTCGGGGAATGAAATGCGGTAGCTGATGATGATGTTGGATTGCGATAAATATATCCAATGGAGTATATGTGTCGACTAATTCAAGGTGGTAAGTGATATCTTCTGTACACATTTTGATGCAATGCACTTGTTGAATGATTTAATATTGTGTTCTTGATGGGATACCACATACAAGACAAACAAATATTGGCTCCCCATACTTGAGATAATTGGCGTCACATCTATAGGGTTGACCTTCTTAGCCACCTTTGCATTGTTATAAAGTGAATCCAAAAATAATTTCACTTGGCATGATTCAGGGGTTTATTTATGACATCCGAGGACGATTTACATATGATTGTTACTTATAAAGACCTTGCTCCGATGAATACCATTGCAAATGTATTCCCTCAGTCTTATTAGATGATATGATGAATGCATTTAATAAACCTAAAAAAAACTCCAAGCACATACATTCAAAATTCAAAAGATAAAACATCAGGAAAAACATACATTCAAAATTTTAAAAAACAAATAATACCTAATTTCAAAATTCGTCGAAGGCTTAAACGAATTTCAAAATTTGGAGGAGGCTTAACTGACTTTTGAAATTTGTTTAAGAATTTGCTAACTTTAAAAAGTTTGCGAAACCTTAACCATATTTCGAATGCCAATTCATTTTCGTTTTCAATCAACCACGAACCATGAATATACAAATCTCCTATTCTCTAGGCATTTACTATGTTGAATTCAAATCAATATTAAACATCTTAATCGCAAAACGAAATTTAAAACTAATGCTTACTGATTTGTGTAGTAAGGACGAAGGGGGGTGGACAAGTAGTGAGGAAGAAGAATGATGGATGTCTAAACCTTCCTAAATCCGCCAATGCACTAAACTATGGAAGGAGTGGAGGAAAAAAAACAAGGTGAAGGAGGAGAGGTAAACCAATGAGATGCAACAATGCAAGGAACGGGGGAGGAAAGGGCAAGAAGTAACGATGCAAGGAGTGGGTGTAATGGTTAGAGCAACAAAATCAAATTTAAAAACATGCAAAGAGACAAGTAAAAAAAATCATTTTGGTCAAAAGAATATTTACATGGTTAAATGAGTTTTTACTTTTGTTAGAATGTTATATTTGAAATATTTTCAAAAGTTGGAGGTGCACGAAGAAAGTTGTGAAGTACAAGAATATGTTAACATTTTTTGGGTGGGATGAGGCAAAAATTTGATAGGGTGTAGGAAGCTACAACCATAGAATTAGAATCATAAGACAGGGCAAAGCTCAATTCAAAAACTTTCACTACATGGCTTTTATTTGCAATAAATACGAGGGTGAATGACAATTATCGTAGTAATTAAGTAAAAATGTCTTTTATATCTTTTAAATTAGTATAGATAGAAACTATTATAGATACAATAATGTTAAAGACTTATCTATATTTTACGTTTGAAATTTATTTAACATGAAAAGAGTTTTTGTATATCTTTTAAATTAGTAAATATTATGAGTATTTAAAAGAAAAATACAAAAGAGATAGACTCAAGTCCATTATATTTAAAATTAATACATATCTTTTGAGGTGTAAGGTCGAGGTCAATGTCCAATATCTAGGTAACACTTTAAAAGATCCAAATGCTATCTTCACTCTAAGTTCTTTGTAGGTGTTCGTTCAATACCATTCAAAGGACACCTGTAGAAGATGCATTAATGTTAAAATCAAAGTCGGTGGTTTGACAATTCATATATATTAATGTCACAATAAATGCAACCACGTACTAACCTATATTATAGATTTCAGAGTGAGTATTTGATTAGTAACAACCTAATTGTTGTCCAATTGATGGTAGTTACCCTTTACCTTAATTTTCTCAACATTAGAATTAATCTCTCCATCGATTGACTATTTGGTCACATTCTACGGCTATCCGGTTACAAGAATAGTTTGTTGACGTGTTTGACTAAAGGTTGACTATCCAGTCTGACTGAACAATCATACAATAAACATAATATTGTAAGTAAGAGCCATATGTAACACATTCCCAAGTTATGCATATAATGATATAAATTTTATGTACTAAGTTTATTATAAATATAATTAATTATAAGTCTTCATAAAGAATTGATGAAAAATATACTAATTGATCACTTGAGTTAACAAACTCAGTTTTAATGTCTTTAAATATGATTTTTTTTTTCAAATAAAATGTTAATCAATTTCAATGTGTTTGGTCTTTTTGTTAAAGACAATATTAGAGTTAATATGAAAAACGATTTAATTATCACATAAATTTCTTCTAATTAACATTTTCAAATTATTATTTTATAAGAAATTGTTTAAGTCAAATAAATTCATAAGTGTCAAACACCATAATTCTATATTCTCTTTCTCCACTAGATCTTGTTATAGCACAGCACTTTTTTCTTACTTTTCTAAAAGATAAAATTATCAAATAAATAGTAGTTTTTTAAAA